GTTGTGTTTTTGTCGCAGCTTTTCCCATTCAGAAGCCTTGATCTACAGAGCTACTGTTGTTAAAGCACTACTTCAGCAAACAAGCCCTGTAAATATAGTAAAGGTAAAGGTTTCCCTTGCTCGAAAGCCAGTCGAATCCGACTCTAGGGCACGGTGCTCTTCTGGTTCCAAGCCGAAGAGCCTTCCGCAGCGAAGGGGAACGGCAGGGTGCGGGAAGAGCTGCTGCTGCTGCAGGGACACCCCCACCCCCCGTGCTCGCCCGTCCTTACCTTGCAGCCCTTCTCCAGCAGCGCCTGGGTGCAAGCGTTGCCGATACACCTGGGTCCTCCAGGTGCATGGTCCACGTCGCTCTGGCTGCCACCCCCCCTCCGGGCTAACAGGGGCTCCTCTGATGCGCTGGGTCTCCCCTGCAGCCCAGCTGGCTGGCTGGGGCAGGAAGCGGGGAGGTAGGAAGCGCCGGAGCCCAAACACAACCAGTGCCGTGGTTTGCCAGAGACGAACTCTGTGTCACCTGCATGGAAAGTTACCTCCTGCCCTTCGGCCCTTCCTGCTTCCCCTCCTCCACCCCCGGCCCACCGGGAACAGCCACAGCCCACCTGGCTGTCCACGAACCCGCCAGGGCACAGCGAGGAAGGGGAGGAGGAGGAGGGAGGGGAGGCCACTGCGCCCCTCAAGCCCCCCTGACGACGCCTCGGTCTCCAGTGCTGCCGCTGCCAGCCTCTCGTTGTCTTCAGGCTGGGGGAGGGGGGAGCAGAGGATCGGGGGAGGGGCCCACAAATCCCACGGGGGGCGCGAGCTACGTGCCTGCATCCAAGTTAGATTCCTGTAATGTGTGCTTGTCATGATCTGGTCTGTGCTACCGGAGGCCTACTAGGCCCAAGGACCCTGGCTAGCAGTAGCTAAGGCTGGGCCTACAACTCCCAGAAACCCCTGGGTAGTTTTGGCGCCAAAATGGACCAATAGGAAAAGAGGAGGGCTGGGAATAAAAGTTCTGGAGCAGCAGGAAGAGCTGTTCTTTCTTCCAGAGGGCAGAGCCGGAAGAAAGGCTGCTGCACGGGAGAGACCCTCATCCTGAGGACAGGGTGAGTAGTGTAAGGCCACTTGAGATAGTGAGCTAGGGACAGTGTATATTTAGGCCATTTGATTTCTTTTTTTTTCACCCACTTACTGTTATTATTCTGCACCTTGTTGTTTGACCACCTATAAAATAAACCTTTTTCTTGTTTCACTCTGCCTGGTCCTCACGCCTATTATTCTTTCTTTCTTCTTTCTTTCAACTTGCTACCCCGCTCGAACCCCCCAGGGGGTCTCTGAGCAGCTTACAGTTAACCGTTATCCCTTACCTATGGCCACATATATACTGGGGTGGGGACTGTCCTAACAGCACCCAGTGGAGGGACGTTATTCGATCTTCTTCCTTCTGGAATGGCTCGTTGGCTCGGCTTCTTCTGGCTTTTTTCTCTTTCTATCCGTGATCTTTCCGGTGGTGGTTTCAGCTGGCCTCTCAGGCCAAAAGGGAGGTCTAAAGGTCTTGGGAGGGTACTCTGGGCATTCTCAAGGGAACCTAAATCCAGAGTGGTGACACCCCACCTGAGTTGTGACAGTGCTACATGGGGCTGCCTTTGAAAATGGTTTGAAAACTTCAACTGGAAAATGCAGTGAGCAGACTATTGTCAGGAATTGGTCACAGGGATCATATTGCCCCTGTGCTGAAAGATTTGCGCTGGCTACCCATATATTTCCAGGCAGAATTCACAGTGCTGATATTTCCAGGCAGAATTCACAGTGCTGGAGACCATGGTACCTGAAAGAACACCTCCTCCAATATTATCCAGCCCTTCACTTAAGATCTGCCTAAGTTCTGCTCTCTCTGTCCCTGCCTTCAGAGACAGGGCATTTTTCATGGTAGAACCTTGCCTGGCACCTACTATAGGTGAAGCTTGCCTGGCACCTACTATACTTTCTTTTAGGCACTAGGCTAAAACATTTCTTTTTACCCAGGCTTTTAATAAGGGGGTGTATGTTATCAGCTTCTGAATGGTCTGCTCTATTTTATGGACAGTTTTTATGTTGCTTATGTCTAGCCCTCCTTCTACTGCTGTTTATGTGTTTTTAATTGAATTACTTTATAACTTTAATTGAATTACTTTAATTGCTTAATGTTTTAATGTTTCTGATGTTTGCCACTTTGTGGACCCTGATCGGGTAGAAATGTTTTAAATAAATTAAATGTCTAATGGCTTGTGCTTATGCTGTTTCTTTCATTGTAAGCCACATTGAGCAGGGCTCTGGAGAGGTGGAATAGAAATATTGTAAATAAAGAAATAAATATTTTGTTTTCACGTCTATCCTGATCTATCTAAAAGGGCTGTTTTGGTAGGAAATGTATAGCATCCTACGGTATTAAAACCATAATGTACTTTAAATGGTAATTATAGTGATTGCTTTTATATTTAATTTTTTCATTAACTGTTCCAAAGTAGACAATCATCTAAACACAGGATGTCATGAAACCATATTCAAAGCATAATTTAATTATCCTCAATACAGTAAGACTCTTACCTTTACAATTCTGTTCCATAATGGCTGCATAATATATACAGATAAAGGGTTTGAATCCACAGCTCTGTACTGCAAGCAAAACAAATACATAAGCATTAAAACAGAACATTTTCAAAGATGAGTTTGATTGGTGTTGAAGAAAGGTGGTATTTTAATACCTAACTTTAAAGTAAAGTTTTCCATACACTCTGTTGACAACATAAATGTGTTTTTGATTTGAACACAGCTTGTCCAGTGGGGCACCTTTAAGACCAATGAAGTTTTAGTCAAGGTGTGAGCTTTCATGTGCTCACTTCCTCAGACACAGTGAAATGGAACTTGCCAGGCCATACATATAAATATAAGGCAGAGGTCATATCCTCTCAAGCATGGAGGAGACAGATAGAGCGTGATAGCAGAGTCTTGGGTGATTGCTCTTAGCACTCCATAATTAATAAGGATACATAATTAATAAGGATACATTTACACATCTATCATCAATTTTGACATATTTATTTGCCTCACAGTTTCCCCCCTAGAATTAAATCCAAACAATGATGACCTTATAAACTTAGCTTGTTATTCTTGTTTGCATCTGTCAAAACATTTTATTATATGCTGGTCTTGTTGGTCTTAAAGGTGCCACTGGACTCAAACTTTGTTCTGCTGCTTCAGGCCAACATGGCTACCCCACCCGGATCTATGTTTTTGACTAGTATGCTTGTTTGCCGTGATCATTTCAGTTTTGGTTTTATTTACAATATGACAATGTAAATACCTTTTAAGAATAGGCATTTCTTCTGAAAAACAGAGCTTTACATTTACCGTTTAAAAAGTAATAATTCATAGTAACTGAAGTGGTAACTGAGATATTATACAAGCACAAGTCATAATAATTTGGAAATCTAATTTATAAGTCTTTTATATTCAGAAGCAACAATTAAAACTGATTCACTATCACCATAATAGTCAATATAGTTTGTTTACTCATTTATCAGGGATCTTAGCAGCCAATTCTGCAAAGTCAACAACCTTTCTATGATGTGCTTACTCCTCTTTTATTTTTTCTTTATGGAATTGCCATTAATTAAATCAGGAAAAAGGATAGCAACAGCTTTTTCATCATTTGCCATAAAGTTGGAATGAAAATATAAGCAGCTTCTGTACTGCCGTTGACACCAACGCCGAGAGTGAGGAGCCTTGGAGTGATCCTGGATGCCTTGCTTTCAATGGAGGCCCAGATCAACACTGTTGCTAGGTCAGGAGCAGCAGCAAGTCAGCACACTCTGTAGTCCTAATGGCAGGACTTGTCTGAGCAATCACACCATGCAAGAAAGGCCTTATAGTTCATGTATGCCCTAATAAGTGCATGAAACCAGAAGGACGATAAACACTCAGAAGATGGCATTCTCATTAAAATGATCTTTCAGTCTCCAACCAGTCAACCAGCACAACTGAGGCTGAGAAGGGTCTTTGTGAAAGTGATCCAGTATCAAGGGAAAAGGCCACAACTCCTATGAAGGCAATGAGATCCAAAAACCGGACATTTGGCCTGGTAGGGCCATAGATACAGTCTGTAAAGGTCCAGATGCCAGCCAGCTGATATTTAACAGCCAGCTGCCTGACAACCAGCTGTCTGGCAGCTCCATCCTGGGAGTAGGAAAGGGGAACGGCAGGGGAGAGATTGCTGAGAAGTTACTATTGGTCCCTCATGGGCTTGGACATATCCCCACAGGGTTTCGGGGTAGGGGGAGGCCACTGGCTATGGTCCAGGCCTGGCTAGGGCCTTGAAAGGCACCCAGCTCAGAGCAGAGCTAAGGGAGAGGAGGTAGAATGGGGTAGAAGTCAATCTCTGCCCCTCTCTGTCTGAGGCCAAGGGAAGGCACTTCAGCCAAATCGGAACAGTGGCTGAGGTGGCAGTGGGCGGGGAATAGGAGCAGACCCAGCACCCAGCCAATGGCATGCGATTACTCTTGAGTGGCGGTTGATGGGCCAATGGCTGATGGAGCGCACTGCACAGCCAATGGGAGAGCTGGAAATGGCCAATACGTAAGGGATTATATTAAGATTATACTTGATAATATCACAACACAAATTGTTGCATGTGGATATGACATGGTTTAATCCTAAACAATATAAAATATAGGTAATACCTGCTCATTCTCATAAATGGAGATGAATGGTTATCCACAATTATAAATATCTATGGCGCTTTAGATGGTATTTTTCCATGTGGGCTTTTTTCTGTGTGGGCTTTTTTCCGTGTGGGCTTTTTTCCGGTCACCAGCCAAATCAGACCCTGATGCATGATGTCTGTGGCCAGAGATCTGACAATGGGCTACTGGGACTTGTTTGTTTTTATACCTGCCTGTAGTGTCTCATTGTTCTTACCATTCTAGAGAGTGGGAGGGAGGTATATAGTAGACCCTGAGTCTACTGCATCTTCAGAGCATCTACCACGATTGTCCCTTTGGGTCTGCTTTTGAACTATGACATTTGGCTGTCTGTTAGTGGCAAAGAAATCTGACATCTTGAATCTGGCAGGCAGCCAATAGAACACTGGGGGGGACTTCCTCTTTGTTTCTTTCATCAGTATGCTTGTACACCAAATTATACTTTCAAATCTTTTTTCTACTCATCGCAACATATGAGAACTTCATCTTAGCAGCCAATCCTAAAACCACTTTGCTGGAAGTAACCCCCACTGAGCAGACCTGAGTAATGTTGTAAAATGGACGTGCTTAGGATTGCTCTCTTAGTCAACTAATAGGAGTCATAAACAGTTATATTTGCTGCAGCATACTATTTGTATTTTCATTGTGGAACAAGAGTGAAATAACTTAACTGATTGTATGTTTTCACACACATGTGCGTCAATGCAGGCACAGAAGAATAAGATAGGTCAGGAACACTTGGAGAATTCCATAGTGTTTGTTCAGCATAATATTGCATTCAGGCCCATAATTTAGCCTGTTCTGCCTCCTCTGAACAACAGAGTGGATCAATTCCATGCATTTATATAGAAACGCAAATGCAGTTGCTATTGTGTCTATGCAATCTATAAACTTGACAGCTATATTCTACTTTTATGCTATATTAAGTTGAACATTATCTACCACTGATTGATTTTGTTCATGTTGCTAACTATAAAGGAAAATAAGTTTGAAAACAGTGCACATGTTTTAACTTGTCTACATATTAGAGTTGGCAGGCACACTAAGCCATGTACTGCCTCTAGCAAAATGGAATAGTCAATTATAGACTAACAGCCTATTCCAACCCTCAAATAGAAATTAGTGTCAGATATTACAGGGGATCTCAGCAGCAGCAGGACAGGACGGTTTATTCCAATTCTTGTCAGTAGCTTTCAGTAAGATGAATATGTCAATACACTTTTTGGTATAAATACGTAATTTCTTCCCCATACAGCTGTATTTATTCAGTTACTCAATTTGTATAACCATCTGTAAAAAGCAAGCAGGTCCACTCATTGACAGTTTGATCCCTCTTTGTCTGTAGATAACCATAAACCAAACACACACAACTATAAATATATGCAAATATATTTCATAATGAAAAAAACAGAATGATAAAGCAATGTAATGTTTTGTAACAAATGAGGACAACATGACAAACAGTACTGCTGACACTGAGGCTGTGTATTCTGGATGCAGCCTGTAGGATCAAAAAGATTAAACTCCAAATAATGTCTTGCCAGCCATACATCTCCTTCATACTGTGCTCATAGAGGGTACAAAGAAATCAGTGAGTGCTGCATCTGTGTGATGCTGTCCTGAGTGTTATCAAAACCAAACTCCAGTTAGGCCCTGCTGGAATTCCAGTTAGGTCTTGGAGGTACTTCTGGAGGTACTTCTGTTCCTCCCCCTCAACTAACTGGATCTGGCCACTCATATAAAGTCATTGCAGGACATTAAAGCTGACAGCAGTTACAGAATCATACCAGAGCATTCAGACATACAGCATATTAACAGCTAATGCTTAACAGGTCATGAAACAATAACCCATGGTACACTGAATAAGGTAACACTATACTAAACTGCTTGATTAATTTGGATTGTCTATATTCCTGAAAAGGATATAAGAACTCTTACAAAATCAGATTCCAATTATGGTAAATCCTACTAGTTTCTAAGGTAATCCTGCTGCCTTTTCGGAAAGGGGGGGCTGTTCCCCATTACCAACTTCCCACCTGTTCTTCCATAAACCCACAGTTTGGTCACCCTTGCTCTAAACTGTGAGATCTGTGAGACAATCCCTAAGATCACTCTGCACCTGTTAGCTAGTTAAAGGTAAAGGTTTCCCTTGCTCAAAAGCCAATCGAATCTAACTCTAGGGGGTAGTACTCATCTCCATTTCCAAGCTGAAGAGCCACCACTTTCCGAAGACTTCTCTGTGGTCATGTGGCTAGCATGACTAAACACTGAGGCGCATGGAATGCTGTTCCCACCGAAGCGGTACCTATTTATCTATTTGCAATTTCTTGCTTTCGAACTGCTAGGCTGGCAGGAGCTGGGGCCAGAGACGGGAGCTCACTCCATCACGCGGCACTCGGGTCTTGAACTGCCAAGCTATAGACCTTCCACTCTGCAGCTCAGCATCTTAACTTCTGAGCCACCACGGCCACTGGTAACTAGTTAGCTAGTTACTCGCCCATTAAAGGGCATTGCTGGTTGTATCCAGCATCCTGACAGCCTGCAGTCTTACTAATACAGACTTTCTGGAAATTTGGTTATCTGCTGTCAACAGGATCAACCTAATTCACATTTTATTAATGTTGACTACAGTTGAATTTCTTATCATTCTTAGTACTTTTAAAGCAGAGCATCTCAAATATTCAGCCCAAGACACACCAGAGCTCAGGAATTCTATCCTTTACTCAAGGGATAATACTGTAATCCTCCATACTAGGGCTTAATTTGCCTCAGAGGTCCACAGTGGAATCTATTTTATGCTAAAGGTCAATGTTTGAACATGATCAAAGAAAGGAAGATAGCATCACTGAACATGAACAAACTCAGATCTGGGAGTTAGGAGCAGGACTTCCAGGGCAGATAATATTAATTCCAGGT